TTGAAGCTTCGTACCAAAAAGATTATACGCGTAGGACAGTGCGTGTTAAATGCTAAGAACAAATAAATCAAATAAATTCCTTTATTTTGGTAATACCGCCAAATGTCGGTACTGATTAACATGATTTGCTGGTATTCATCACTGCAAAATGTCGTTTTCCTTCAATTAAAATTGATTAAATAAGAATGAACTGAATGTAAACGTACCTGTTCATAGAAGAACAAAACTGATACAAAACGGAAGAAGTCCATTTCAAATAAAATGATAATTAAGATGGGGAACAGATAGAAAGTCTTAATATCCTCAACAATCATTAATTTGTTGAAATTTAATCAATGGAGCATGTTCTTAAACTAATTTTCCAATCAATGAATGATAAAATGATCATTAGATGCACGGTTTAGAGAGTATAATGATTGTAAGGGACTCCCCCTGGTGCTTGCTCGGAGATAAATAACTGTAGAAAGAAAGGGGAAAGGCATTTCAGGTTGTATAAAAAAATGAACAATCGGCGAAGGAAAGGTTGCACAAACTTATTCCACGATAACTTTCGCTGAAATACGATATACAAGTATTTGCATTGTGATAGGAGTTGTCGACTGTTGTTCCTTCGTCCTTATGTTTTTCGGCACGCAGTTGGAATAAGAATGAATTGAAGTTGATGATCAAAGCTTTTCCTAGTTCAGATTTACTTGGAACTTTTTTGCTAGCTTCATTACTGGGGTCAGCGTATGGTAGAGGCTTTCCATATTCTCCTCAATATGGTTATTATTATCCATACTTCGGCTACTCTCCTTATTCCTACGGTTACCCTCCTTATTACTACTATTATTATGGATAACTGTTTCATTTTCTCCAAACACCTTTGTATTATTATGCAGACTTTAAATTTTTAAAATTATGCGAAACATTGTTTGGCGTTATATTCTGTGTCAAGCTATTAAATAGATTTCGAATTGAATCAGTGTTTAAAATATATCAAATCCTTATGCGGCACAAGTTATCGTCACCAAAATCATCCACGGCTCCGTCATAGTTTGTTGTACCTACACTAATCAATAACACATGGATTGAAATAAGAAACCGAAAATAAATGAATGTTTGAATAATTGACTAATTTCGATGTCAATCACTCATTAAATTATTGAAATATTGTGACAAATAAGGAATTTAACAGCAAGAATTTTCTTCAAATATAATAATTCTAAAGTCACATCTTCAGAATTGTTTAAAACTTCTTACCAATAATGCTAAAGTGTAGACCACCAAATTTTCGAAAACCAACAATTGCATATACAGGACCTGCATGGAAACGAAATTGATAGTGAACTCCAGTTATCGATGATTCATCA